AATATTTCCCAGCTAGGATATGGACACACCCCATTCTTAACGCTACGCCGATCACCGATAAATGAACCATGATTGATTTCAATGCCATGAAAAACGATTTAAAAAAATTGTTTTGTCATTATTGTAGTCGATTATCCTCTAACTATACACCCCTAACGCATTCTTCACTCAAGAATCCTAATTAGCTAACTTAAAATATTCCAATTTCCCCGACTTGGTCTCGAACGCACGAACCTTACATTACTAAACCTTCGCCCTAACCACTAGCCTAACGCATAATTCTTACGATTGCTAACTCAAATAGCTCATATGAGTTTCATTTCGAATTTATTCTTTGATGATTTAATTTGTAATTATTGTATTATTTAATTTTCATCTTATTCATCATTATTGATTTATTCCTTCAAGGATGATTGGAAGAATAATACTCCCCACCCTGGATATTTTCGAAAACCCAGACTCCCTCTCCCACCTCTTTTGAACACCCACTCCAATATAGAAATTTGTCATTATCATTCAAGTTAACTTCAATCTTTTTTATAATAATCATTCATCCCCCCTCCCACCTCCATCCCCCCACTCTCTTGAACAGCCACTCGTCAAGGGTTGATTGCACTCCCTACTTCTCTGAAGCCTTGATTCCAAGCTTCAGCCAGTCCTGTGGCCGAGCATGAAATCCGACGCTTGGCTATTCATAATTGTCTCAAGCTCGGCTGAAGAACGGTCGCCAATAAACATTTGTCATTGCTGGCTCCTAATTGGCAACCGAGCTTGGGCTGAATCTGTCTAGCCCTGCCCTGTCCAAGCATCGGGGAGCCAGTCTCCATCCATTATTGACCCGACCCTGGTAGCCAAGACTCAATTCCCACCATTGGTTGGAGACTGGCTTTACCACTGGCTGACCTGTGACCCAAGCATGTTTCACCAATGCTTGGTAAGTTGAGGGTGAACCAGTTGTTGAAGCTTGGCAAGTCTGGCCCGAGTCGGAAGATTGTTTAATTGGAGTTGTAGTGAATTTGGAGTTGTAGTGATAATTAAATTTGAATTTAAATATATTTTGAAACACTATTCGGTTTACAAAAACATAAGTGTAATTTTACAAAAATTTATGTAGTTAAAATTCCTACCCCTGGAATGATCTGAAGAATCTAAAATTTGGGTTTACAAATTCTATTACTTAAAATTCGGTCTGTTCTTTATGAGGTTGTCGTGGTATCTATAGATCCCAGGGTGAATGCGTAATTTCCTCACCAGCAATTAGTCGTGATAAAGGCTATTATGGATACTTTTACGGAGATACTTTCTTCTACTCGTTGAAGTATTTTAACAAATTTGGACAATTGAATTTTAAGAGTTTAAGAGTTTGTTTGAGACTGTCCACAATGTGTCACAATGAACGAATTCCTTATTTGTAAGAACAGTCACCACTCTCGATTAAAGAAATTTTATTCCCGAATAATTTCAATAGTTCGTAACGTACTATTAATTCAGTACTATCCCGCGTATTTTCGACACGGCGAAATTTTATCGAAGGAAGGATTGAAAAACCGGACCGATTAAGTGAACTAATTCCACCAGAATTGTTACCGTTCCGTCGCTGCTTCAAGACTGGCTAATTTAGATTTTTCTGACATTTTTATATAAATTTTGGGGTCACTTGTCACATTGGCTCCAACGAGCCCATTTGTAATTGGTGGAACATGTCGTATGACTTTTTCCACTCTTTTGATTCTTATTGGGGAAGTAGTTCATTCAATTTTTGGGGTTTTGATTCATCGGTTTTCATCGGTTTTCATTCCTTCGCGTGCGAATCTTGATATTGTGTAATGGGAGCATGCTGAGTGGGATAGTTCATTACTTTTGGACTCGATTCCAATGTCTTTGGAGTTTTTGATCGAGTTCAAATGACGAAATGTCCTCCAAATAAAATTAAAATTAATTAAAACAATTTCAAAATTGTTTTACTCATTTTATATTTGCATAAAAATTTCAGACATTACAAACAAATAATTGAAAAGTAAAAGTAATCATAGTTACAATGTTCAATAACCTCTCCACGTATAATAAATAAATTAAAATCCAATTTAAGAAGGAAGAATAACATATTCTGGGTTCAACCTCATTCTGATCTCGGAACGTGGAAAGTTCCGACTGTCGGAATCCCTGTCGGAAGGTATCGGATTGATCCACCATCTAGCTGCTGGATCAAAAAATGATTCGAGAATTTTTCCTAACTACCTGAGATGAATGCGACCGTCATTTCCTGTGAAACCCTCTGCAAATATTGGTGTAAGCCTCGAGAAAGAAAAAAATGGAAAAAACAATTAATAATTATTCATAATTGGTAATTAATTTTTTCCAATTATTCTCGAACAATTTTCATGCTCATTTTCAACATTCTTTACATTATTCATTATTTTTGACAGATTCACAACTTCCCATTCTCCTCGAAATTTTTTTTTTCATTTGTATCGTGTACGAAAAAAGCAACAGACCTATGAACAAGCACATTACTTTTGTCATTTTCAAGATACGACTTCATTGGCATAATTTATTATTATTATTACTATCATTTTTTTTCAAGACTAACGTTAGGCGGTGCGGAGTTCTTGCATAAGTTGAGAATATCGAAGAGACTTTGAATATTCATATCATTGATAAGTGATTTTATTCCCTCCCTGCAGAGGAACTTTTCCTTGTTGGGGATTAGGATCATATAATTGCGGGTTCACGAGACTACCCATATCATTTATCCTCGATAGTATATTTCATTGAACATAATGGGGAAAGTAGCGATTACTATCACCAATGATATGGTGGCTTATGCCATTCGGGCTCGCTATGGAGGTAATGATGTGATGGACACTCTTGATACATTACTGAACTCTTCTCACAATGCAAAACATGCTATATGGAAATCCATTTGTCGTGATATTCTGAAAACTAGTCTACCCATTGTCATCGAAAAAACTGTCGAAAATTGTGTTCATAAATGTTTCCCGAAATAGCGCAATAATAAAGGAGCGATCAAGAACATTACAGAGAAGATCAATTCAGCGGAGAAACTTGCAGAGGATTCCAATACATCACCTGAACTTCACTCATCACTACCACTTCCCCCAGCTATTTCAGTAAATCCCGAAGTCTTTGTCGATGAGTCAGAGTCCAATGGAAGAATTAGTTCCCCAATGAATCTCGATGAGAATCAGATTCCAGAGAATTCCTCTCCCCCGTCGAATTATGAAGTATTCCAAGAATCATCCTCCCATGAGGAAAATGGAGTTGATTCTACCGAGAGGAAAACTGATGAGATCCCTACTGCCCCATCGAAACCCTTGGAAGATTCGTCAGATTCGTCAGAAAAGATCAATTCCTCAGAGGAACTTACAGAGGATTCTGATGCATCACTTAAACCCCATTCATCACTACTACCTACCCCAGCTATTTCAGTAAATCCTGAAGTCTTTGTCGATGAGTCAGAGTCCAATGGACGAATTAGTTCCCCAATGAATCTCGATGAGAATGAGGTTCCAGAGAATTCCTCTCCCACGTCGGATCACGAAGTATCCGAAAAACCAGCCTCCCATGAGGAACATGCAGTTGATTCTACCGAGAGGAAAACTAGTGAGATCCCTACTGCCCCATCAGAACATTTTGATTCTTTAGATTCGTCAGATTCCTCCGAATTCCCCATTAGGGTGTCAAAGAATGCTCCATCCATACTTCGTCAAACTAGAAAGAAAATCAAACGTCTCAACAAAACAACAACACTCAATGGCCCTCCCATCATATTGAAAGCAGAATTTTGGGAAAAGTACTGGACCGGAGGGAAGCGTCTGAGACACAATTCGAAGAGACAAATGGACTGATGGTTTCAATATCCAATGCAAAAAGGTTTACCCGTATTGTGTTTTGACATTCGATTGGTAATAATAATGTAGATGGAGGGAAGAATGGAAAATATTTCCAAGCACGAGCAGATTGCAAACCCAGAAAATGTATCAAGTATAAATTTACTTTTAAGTCAAAAATATCTGAGCCATTTATGGCCCTCGAAGTTTCTGTATCAGCTGATGGACAATTGCAGCATGAGAAAGTGGAGGGGCACAGAAAATTCATCTGCGGCGTCTACAGGGATAAACTCGCTGCTGAAATGAAAGGTAGTTCAGCCTATAAGCAAAAATTAGAATCGATGAATCCAGGGAATGTCCACAATTGGCGAAAGGCAACCTCAATCATACACCGAATCTAATGCTCTTACAAAAGATTAACAGTGACGAGAAATCTAAAGATGATCTGAGCCCCAATCTTACGGAATTCATCCTTAAATTGATCCAGCAATATGCAGTGACTTGGAAAGGCCAGTACATTGATAACTACATTCAACAGTTTTCATTGAGAACTTTCTATATTTTGTTCTTCGCAGAGGCGCAGTTAAAGGTATTATTATCAGAACCCATTGGAACAGTGCTCTGCTATTGGGATTCCACTGGCACAATCGTGAAGCAACCTCCAGGAGAAACAAAACCAATTTTCTACTACACCATCATTCTCCCTGGTGAAGATGGAAAAGTTCCTTTCCCTGTTGCGGAATTCATCAGCGCTGCCCAATCAGTTCCACACTTGACAGCATTCCGCCTGGAACTGGACTATAATCTCAGATTGATGTCACAACGTAATCCTTTCATTGACAAGTAGGAATCTGATTTCAGTTTAACCCTATTACAATCTGCATATCTTGTTCTTAACAAACTATCTCTGATTGATTACATCAATACCCTAATCCGAGATGAGAATCAAAATTTCTGGCGTACAGTTTTACACATATGTGGACCTCATATGTTGAAAACAGCTCAAAAGAAACTCATAACTCTTGGTCTGAAGAAGAAGGATCCCTTTATTCCATTGTATCTCGAGGTGTAACTATGTTGCTTCATAGTGACACTTTGGATAAGGCGAAAAATATTTTCACTTTAATGGTTGAGATATTAATGCTGGAAATGACCATAGAGGAGCGTAATGAACATATTTATCTTCTTAACGACTTTGCACCATTGAATTCAGAGAGTGAACAAACTGGAGAGACGTCAGAAGACGGAGAAGTCTTGGATGAAGATCAATTCCTTGGTTACAAGGTAAAAGACTCATTGTATTATGAAGAATTCCTGAATTTATGCAACCAACTATTGCTAGATTTCCCCTGTACTAATGCGGAAACTTCCGAATATTATCAACCGCAGTTTATAATGTATTTATTGAATACTTGTATGCCATATTGCCCCTTATGGTCCGCTGTTGTCATCAAAAGATTCAATATCCTTAGAGATTCAAACAATTCAGTTGAAAATTGGCATAGACTCGTGAAGTGGATGATTTGGACGAACCAGAAGAGGGTTTTTGCAGCACACTTTGTTCAACAACAAGAAAAATTGCTCCCTAATCGTTTTGTAGATCGCGACTACTCTCTTGATACCCAAAGGCAAAAACTGAAAGAGAAAATTCTTCCATAAGAGCGTACTGATGAGACTGCAGAGGAGTATTGGCTAAGGCGTGAACCGAGGAAACGCAAAGGCCAAAATCGTTATTTGACGTATCCCAAACTCATAATACGAAAGACGAATCCATCGGAACAGACTGGGGAAGATTCTGGAACTGATGACGAGTCGAGTACACGTGGCGAGCAAGTCAGTGATGATGATATACAAAATAAGAATCTCACCGGAAATAGCGATAAAGGAACAGAGGTTGAAAAAATGAGAAATGGAAAAGATGAGGGTTTCGAACCTGCGAAAATGGATGATGAAGTTGATGGAAATTCGAAGCAGCACAGCATGGTTGAAGAAGATGATAGGAATTCCAGGTCTGAGAGGAGGAGCGACGAGAGCGATGAGCTTGATCTACAATCACGATTACGTATGCACCATGTCCTCAACGCACGAGAACTTCTTTTCTCGCGAACAGCGACTTATCCAGAAAATTTTGAACGAACACATCAAAACATCAGGGGCTTCCCACTAGATTGGTATGATCTGGAAACGCTGAAACCGGGGACGGAATTGAGTGATAACATCCTGAATGCATTCGCTGCAATGTTAGTAGATACAGCTCGGGAGACTAGACGGGCGAACGTCTTGTTTATTAATACATCGATAACCGGAAACCTCATCTTGAATAAATTGCATGAGAGATTCAAGAGAAATCTCGTTCGACGTCGCCTCTCTGGAGTTGAATATTGGATACTTCCGCTCCATCTATTGACTCGCAATCACTGGACTCTGATGATTGTCGATGCAAAGAATCATATGCTCGTGTTGATAGACTCGATGCGTCGAAAACTTCCGTCCTTACATCTCTTCCATGCCAATTTGACGTTGGTCAACATGCTTGATCCAGAAATGGCACAAAGTGACCCACCCTCGAGTAATTACTGTCCATCTGACGTACCCGATCAAAATGATTTGGTCAGTTGTGGCATCCATGCCTGCCTATGGATGTACATAATTTGTACTTCTTTACCGATTGAATGTGATCACGAAGACACACTCTTCGCTCGAGCGGGAATCACAAGAATGTTGATGGAAAACCCAGTGGCTGAAACCGCTGAAAGTATCGAGCGTATTCCAATTCATAAAGAATTGCTGGATACATAATTTGATAGTCGTCAGAAGGTTGCGACATTACCACTGACAATAAATCGAACACTACCGAAAGGATCGTCGACAACATTGCAATATTGCTCCGATTTGTTGCGATAAGTAGTCATCGATACTCTGTGTTTCAGAGACATGGGAGTTGAATCAAACCAGAGAGGTTATGGTTAATTGAACCCATAAAAAAGGGAGAAGAAGAAAGACGAGAAAAAAACGAAAAAAAACGAAAAAAACGAACAAAAAAAAAATGGGGCTAATTATCCGCTACGTCTACGTTGTTAGTCCTGGGTTACGCAGAATGCGGAGATCTCGAGCTGTGGGGGGATGAATATTTCCGAATACATATAATTCATAACTAGCAAAAAGTACCTCCAAGTTTCATAAAGTTTCTATGGGTTCAAGTATCCTTCCCCCTCCCTGAAAGATGAAAAACACTTTCAAATATTTTTCTCGCACCATAAAATGTTTTCTAAATTCCTTGATCTTTCCCAAATTTTGAATTTTCTGACGTATCATAGATGGGAGAACATAACCTCCAAGTTTCATAAAGTTTCCATGGATTCAAGTATACTTCCTTCCCTCAATTACTGTATTACTGTATTATATAAGCAATGACAGTTAAAAATGACAAAAAAAAAATTATAACAATGGCAGTTAAAAAAATTGTGGAAAAAGGTATGCTGTTAAAAAAAATGAAAAAAAAAACAAAATAAAAAGTATTAATTTTCATTAATAATAATTAATGTTATTAACAATTTCCCACATCATCATCTGCGTCTATTGCCCTCTCCTCCTCCGCCACCCTAGACGCCGAACAAATGCGATAAAAATCGAATTATATGTATAAACAATAATAACATTAATAATTATTATTATCGCAATAATAATTGTCCATTGATTCATCATGTTTATAGGAAAAATAATAAAAATTTAAATGATGTTTTCACAACCGGGGCCTCATCAAAGTTTCGGCCCTGACATCAAAATCATCGGCCGCCACCTACGGCCGCCAGTTTCAGGGTGATCTAGATTCTACCCGTGTATCCAGTCAAGCCGAGGCTAAGCGGTCGATCCGAGCGCGTGAGCAGAGTTTCAGCCTTGAATTTCTCACTTGAATTTCCGCACGGGTAGGCGAAGACTGTTTGAAAAAAACAAAATGGAAATTTTATTGACAATGGAGTAATAATTTGCAGGATAGCGACATTAAATTCGATTTAAGGGCTACCAGGGACTATTCATTTTTTCTAGACTATTCATTTTTTCAGTAGATTTTTTTTGTAAACTTATATTGAGAATCATCATGTAGACCAGTCAAATTACGAATTCGCAATCACCGATGATAGAAGGATGGAAACCATAGCATATCATCCGGAAAAATGATGTGAAAAACATACTAAGTTTTTTTAATTCTAGCAGACCGGGACATTGTTTAAAAAAAATCAAAATTACAAAATTAAGCGTCTGCACGACCTTTTTTGGCATACGCTGGCGAAACCGTAATAGATAGGAGAACAATCCATGAAACATAATTTGTAAAGCATTGAATTTCCTACAAAAAAGTCAGTGGTGGCATATTCTTAATTTCAACTGCTAAGCCACCAAGCTGATTTTCCGCCAACACCGAAAAATCCATTTTACAAAATGCAAATGATGTATGAAAGGCCAAAAGTAACCACGACTATTTCCGATAATTGGATTCCCTATAGCATAATACCATAATTGCATAGTCATGTATATTAGGCATTGACATGTGGGAAGAGGGAAATTCAGATGAGGGGAATAATCCAACTGAATGCCCCTTGTGCTCCAAAATTGTAGAAAATTTTTCTCACGTTTTCCGGCATATCAATGATTGGGAAATTTTTGCAACAAAATCTCTCGCGTTGCGCAATCGGGATTGCAAAACCNAATGACAAAAAAAAAATTATAACAATGGCAGTTAAAAAAATTGTGGAAAAAGGTATGCTGTTAAAAAAAATGAAAAAAAAAACAAAATAAAAAGTATTAATTTTCATTAATAATAATTAATGTTATTAACAATTTCCCACATCATCATCTGCGTCTATTGCCCTCTCCTCCTCCGCCACCCTAGACGCCGAACAAATGCGATAAAAATCGAATTATATGTATAAACAATAATAACATTAATAATTATTATTATCGCAATAATAATTGTCCATTGATTCATCATGTTTATAGGAAAAATAATAAAAATTTAAATGATGTTTTCACAACCGGGGCCTCATCAAAGTTTCGGCCCTGACATCAAAATCATCGGCCGCCACCTACGGCCGCCAGTTTCAGGGTGATCTAGATTCTACCCGTGTATCCAGTCAAGCCGAGGCTAAGCGGTCGATCCGAGCGCGTGAGCAGAGTTTCAGCCTTGAATTTCTCACTTGAATTTCCGCACGGGTAGGCGAAGACTGTTTGAAAAAAACAAAATGGAAATTTTATTGACAATGGAGTAATAATTTGCAGGATAGCGACATTAAATTCGATTTAAGGGCTACCAGGGACTATTCATTTTTTCTAGACTATTCATTTTTTCAGTAGATTTTTTTTGTAAACTTATATTGAGAATCATCATGTAGACCAGTCAAATTACGAATTCGCAATCACCGATGATAGAAGGATGGAAACCATAGCATATCATCCGGAAAAATGATGTGAAAAACATACTAAGTTTTTTTAATTCTAGCAGACCGGGACATTGTTTAAAAAAAATCAAAATTACAAAATTAAGCGTCTGCACGACCTTTTTTGGCATACGCTGGCGAAACCGTAATAGATAGGAGAACAATCCATGAAACATAATTTGTAAAGCATTGAATTTCCTACAAAAAAGTCAGTGGTGGCATATTCTTAATTTCAACTGCTAAGCCACCAAGCTGATTTTCCGCCAACACCGAAAAATCCATTTTACAAAATGCAAATGATGTATGAAAGGCCAAAAGTAACCACGACTATTTCCGATAATTGGATTCCCTATAGCATAATACCATAATTGCATAGTCATGTATATTAGGCATTGACATGTGGGAAGAGGGAAATTCAGATGAGGGGAATAATCCAACTGAATGCCCCTTGTGCTCCAAAATTGTAGAAAATTTTTCTCACGTTTTCCGGCATATCAATGATTGGGAAATTTTTGCAACAAAATCTCTCGCGTTGCGCAATCGGGATTGCAAAACCTCTCCCTCTCGTTGCTATGCAACAAAAATTATGACCCTTGAAAAACTCACCGACTCCATTTCTTTTGGCTTTGAATTCCGAATACACCCCCCCCCCTCGCCGCCCAAATTTTCGCAAAAATTCTCTATCTCCCTTAGTTTTGGAGATATTTTTGAAAAAACCCCAACGATAACTCACCCTTTCATAAAACACCTCTCTCTAAAAAACCACTCTCTTTAGAAAACCCCCCTCTTAACAAGCCTCTCCCCTCCCGGATATCTCTACCCCCTCCTTGCAAAATTCCTCCTCAAAAATTTAAAAAATTGTCTACATTTTAGAAAATATTATTTTTAAAATAGAGTATAGTTTGGTTTAACATTAATTCCAATTTTGATCATTAGTTTTAAACGAATAATAATAATAATTTATTTCATATGTATACCCTTTCGGGTTTTTACATTTTGTTCCCTTCCCAAACCTCGTACAATTAGGTATGATCTGAACAATTTTGAGCTTACATATTATAATGAAAATAATAACAAAAATAGAATGAGATAATAGTTAGCTTGCAACAAAAATCTTAGCAAATAAGGCAGCCTTTGGCATGCGTTACATAAATGGTTGCTCCGTTCCTGGGCTTTTTGACGCAGTAGATCCAGGGACTTAGACAGACAGGGTGCTCAGTGCATGTTCTCCCGTCTGAAAAAAAAACCGAAGATACGCGGAACCCTCACTCCGCCGTCGACTCGGCTGTCGGGGAGTACTTCTTTGCTCGCCTGCACCGGGAAGACCTAGTTCCCTCCCCCTATTGGGACGCAGTAGAGCCAGGCGCACTGCTGAGGTCCTCTGCTCTACCGTTCACCACCTCTTCTGTGTTCTCCATGCTTCTCACTAGTTTTTCCCAAGCTCTAATAAATTGGCATAGCTCCGTTAACGGATTCCCCCCCAGTAGCTCCACAATTGTTTCGAATCTATCCAGCCCTCTCCAGTCATCCCACAGTTCTTTGAGCATCCCTCCCTTGATAATATTGCATTGCAAGATGTGCTCTAAATCCTCCTGATCAGCCTCGCACAACCTGCACCGGACATCGCTGAATCCCTTGTTCCCCGTCCGCCCTATATTACCACAGCGCATTCGAGCCCATGTCATTTTATCATCCCAGGAAATATTTTTAAGAGTCCAGTAGCCCTTTTTCTCATCAGGCCTTTCCAAATGTTTGAAGGTCGGATTGAAAGTGGATCTACGTATTCTGCTATCAACTGCTGCTTTTCCTTTGGCCTCCCCTTCCTTTAGATAGTCTTCTAGTCTTTCCCCATATTCTTTCACTTCTAATTTCCCCTCCCTCAAGATCTCATGGAATTCCCCCCTCCCATTCCATTCCTCCAGAGCTTCCCCTAGCTCCCTCCCCCCATAAAGACGGGTTCAGGTTCTTCAGCGCTCTCAGTTCCTCGAGCAGACAGGTTTTGACCAGCCTATCTCCTTCGGGCCTACTAATTTTCCCTAGAAACTCTAGTACTCTCCTTCTAGTCTCTAAAATCAGCCCATTCTTTCCGCCCTCCGCCCTCCAGAGATAATCTGGCGTGTTTCTAGAAATTCTCATCCCCATTTTCATGACCCTCCCCTGGACCCTCTCTAACTGTATTCTCGGCTCTAAACCCCATATCTCCGTTCCGTACATCGCTCCGGATTTTCTTAGTGCACTGAGGATGTAAAATCGACTCTTCAGGGAATTCAGTCCTGCTCTAGTTGTAACCCCCCAAGCCGCGTTGACCGCTCTCTTGCCCTTCTCCGCCATCTTGCGCAGGTGCTCCCCGTACGTGTTTTTTGA